CATTAAGGCCAATTAAGGCCTCCCTCAGAATCACGAGGGAACATTAAGGCCCGCCATGGCCTCCCTCATGATGAACTATCTATTTCTCATACATACCTCGTACATGGTACGGAAATTAAAGATGATATAGAACCAGTACGTGACCCCCAGCTGATAACTGCTACTGCTAGGCAAGTGCTGACTGACTGGTAGCTGTCGGAGGCTCGACTCTCCTTAAGCTACATAAATATTTGAGCAAAAGGTACTAAGTACTAAGCTCAAATAAAAGCTTGATTCTTATTATTAATAAATCTTACTCGGTTCTCTTGCTCGATTAAAATATCATTTAATCTGGATTTAGATGCTTTGAGCTGTTCTGAAAAGATTTGCTGACTTTAAGGCATTCTAGAGTTCTCTGAAATATTTCTATGTCTGGACTGCTTGTCTGATCTAACTTATCTGACTGATCTGATCTTATTTATCTGACTGGGTGCAACTCGACTTAATCGTGGTCCGGGTGCATACGTACGGACACGACATCAGTCGACGCACAACTTTCTATCCGGATCTAGAGTTCATCCGGACTGACCGAAAAAGGCTAGACTAGGGTTCTCTACTCAACCGGCTATTTATCTCGGTTCAAGTCAAAAACTCAAACTTTAAGTTCAACTCGATTCCCACAGCTAAATCTCAACCGGATACATTCTAGGGTTTTCACCAAAGCAGCTAAAATCTCGAATTTATAGGCATGCCAAACAACCTCTAAAAATTATGAAATTTAAACCACGGCATATTCATCATTTATAGGATTTTTCGTGAAAGTTTCATCGAATTCCGAGGTCTTATCATATTTATCAAAAAATCGGGCATTTCAGCTACATATTCAAAAATCCAGTTAACATACTAAACGAGCACCAAAATTTACGAAATTAAAACCTAGGCCTCAAGTCAGCTATACGAATTTTATCACGCTAGTTTCGCATTTTTCCGGGCAGCAACCAATATTTACGGAATTTAATGCCATTTAAGCCGATAAAAATCACCATAAATTCTATAATGCTCGAAATCGCTTCCCGTAAATTTTATAATTCATCTAAATTCTCGATTAAGCTCATGGAGAAATTTTTAAGCCGATATACCTCTCGAAAGGGTCAAATCGGAAGTCGGAAAAATAGATCGACTAAGGAAACGACCCGGTTGAGCTCGGGTGTACTCGGATCTAGGCTATGGGCTCGG